CCTTGCAGCACAGAGGCTTCTGCGGTTTAACTCGCAGCAGCACCATGTCCCTTCGGAGGACGAGGAAGCTTTCAGTGCTATTGTGGTGCAGATAGTTTAGTGCCTTCAGGTAACATTTTCTTTGTCAGCTGATGCTGCTTAGATCTTGCACAGCACAAAATAAGTAATCTAGAGCTCAAAATGCATCAACAAATACATATGTCTGTGCTAAAAAATATATACAGGGCCACAGACCTTGCTTTCTTATTAAGAACTCTGTTCATAAACCAGTAGGAAGGTTATAAAAAGAATCAGTAATAATGAGGGCCCAGCACTGAGGTTTAATATAGCCCAAACATAGTTCAGGTTAGGACACAGTGGTTTATTAATTATGTAACTTAACCATGATATGTCTATGATAGAAACAAACATCAAGGGACCAAGGTGGAGATCATTACAGGAAAGAAACTGGGCCCTAATTCTTGAGCATTGATATCAGAGAACAAAATAGCCACTTTTTTAGACTACTATTCCCATCGTATCTGAGCCCATGTAAATATGTTTGCAGGAGGATTCAGATAGTTCCAAAAGTAACCTGGCAAAACATCGGGTGCTAGCTGTAGTACATAAACTAGGATGGTCACCTCATATAGATGAATGTGAAACTGTCCATCAGATACTAGAAGCCTTACTCAGTCATTATCGCCCCCCCCCCCAAATGTTCATCAGAGCTAGAGGAGAGTTCTGTAACCCATCTTTCTCCACTTCTGGTTTTATCACCCTTGTACATATGGAGGGTTTCAAGTCAAAGGTGTGAGAGAGTTCCATTATCCATTGAGGCTCTTCATCTGAAGTGGGATCTAGTCTCATAACGTGCCACATGAAATGGACAACACAACTGGAAATGGCAGGAGCAGGGATAGAGTGAACAGATAGATGACGACTGAATAAATCTTTGATGTTTATAAAGAGTTAGTAGAATCATCCATCCTATTGGCTTGTTCTATTCTAATTAACTGGATGAGTGAAGAACATAGCTATATCTGCTTTGGTAAATACATTATCTGAGGTTAATTAGCCGGAAGCTGGAAGAACTAACTGATGGGGGGGGGAAACATGATTATTTTACTAAAGAAGAAACACAAAAAACATAGGCCAAAGCCTCAAAGATGCTCGGTTTTGCATAACAAACCTCTTTGGGAGACAATATTTTGTAACTATTATTAGATTATCAGGGACTTCAAAAGATATGTATACAGTGCAAATATATATATTTGTTCTGTTAACAGTAATGGGCAATTGTGTAATTATTTGTCAAAATTAGCTTTATTGCCAGAAACTGCTTAGACCACAAAACTTCACTGAAGTGAAGTGATTTAAACCACATTTAAATTTAAATCAAAGTGAAGTGATTTAAATCACATTCCCTACTGTCCTTAATCAACCAACAGGCCTGAAATGTCAACAACTCTAATCTTGGCATGCAGAAATGTTGAGGAAAGGGGTTTGCATTATTGCAGCTCAGCTGAGCTGTTGGAAAACTTGATTTATATTACCAGAAGATGGTGTGCCTCAGTGAGGCATTCTTTGACATGCCATGGTGCCTGCACACCTGCTTCTTTTTAGATTTTGTATGTTTAGCTGAATTTGGAAAAGTCATTTTTGGGGGTGGCTTGAATTCCCTGAATCTCCTGACCACACAGCCATGCTGGTTGATGGTTTGTGGGCATTGTAGTTCTAAAAAGTAACTTTCCCGAGCACTGGGAAAGCACTGATGAGTGCCTATCAGATCCTGGGTAAATGTATAATTCATGGTGTTAGAATGGCAGGAACCAATGCAGGAAGCACTTCTGCTATAGATATTTGTTAATTTCAGAGATTTTTGATTGGACTTCTCCTGTGAGACTCATTAAAACAATGGTGGTTCAAAAGCAGAGGTGATATTGCAATTCCTTATTCATCCTTCAATTGTTCACCACTTGATCTGTTTGCTTTGCATTTAAGATCTTACACCAAGCTACTTCCAGTGAAAAGCATTATGCTGGAGTTTGCATGCAAGCTGATGTTATGAAAATTTTATCTGAAATGCCAGATCTTTGATTACCTTTTTGCATATGCAAATCAAATGATGAATGTGCATTGGTGAATCAGTGTCATGTGCATCTAGATGGATCATCAGCTATTTAGCTGTGTTCAATCAGATATACAGTGGTGCCTCGCAAGACAAATGCCTCGCAGGACAAAAAACTCGCAAGACAAATGGTTTTGGCAAGGGGGGGGTTGTCGATGACTCGCAAGACAAATGTTCCTATGGCCGTGCTTCGCAAAACGAATGTTTTCCATTTTTTGTTCCTGCCTCATGTTTGCTGATTTTTAAATGTTTTTCTATGATGTTTAAAAAGTTTTTTTATTGGAATTTTTGAAATTATCTGCACAATATGTAAGGCTTTAAAGAGCACTTAATAAACCCTTTGTAAACCAAATGTGATTTTGTTTTGCCCATAGGAACACATTAATTAGATTTCAATGCCATTCCTATGGGAAAACGCGTTTCGCAAGATGAATTTTTTGCAAGACAACATTAACCGCGGAATGAATTAAATTCGTCCTGCGAGGCACCACTGTATTCTGATTATTCAAAGAGGAAACAATGAATTAATTGTTGGGGTTTTGTTTTGGGTTTTTTTTTTTTGCCATGTTGAAATTTACTGAAACTCCATCTTCCTCCTGTCATGTGGGGTTATCTACCATCTGCTAAACCAATAATTTTTTTTTTTAAAGTGTACTTTGGGCGCATTAAAACTTCCTACACAACAAAACCAAATTAGCCTTCATTTGAAATAGTCTCAAAACAGTGCCCTGAGCTGTGAAAATGTTTCCCAGTTTCTATAGTATCACAGTTTGATTTAGATCCCTGGCTCGCAATTGGTTTATTCATGCGCTCAAACAAGAACTGCAGATGTGAAAGCCTGAAAGTTGCCCCCAAGTCCATAAAAGTTTCTTGTGGGCAATTGGGATACATTGGTGCAAACTGCAGTTTGTTTGTGGTCCTTAAAAAAATGAAACCTGGAAAGAGAGAACAAAACCACCCACAATATTAATCAGGGACAAAAAATACTCAGCAGGGTTAGAACAGACTCAGGACATTAAAATTCAACATTGTGACCTTTCTCTAGCAGGAACAAAGTGGCCCAAATCCTGTTGTTTTGTGTGGTAAATTGCACTAGAGTGGGCACATTGAATCGGTGAGGATTTGCTGACTCATCTTCTCTACAAGTTCCCTTGATTCCCATGAAGTTAATGTAACTGTGACATAATTCAGAATATTAAATCATAGAGTAGGTCTATTTGAATCAAGGAACTTGCACAGGAGTTGACACACGGAATCGCCTTTGATTCAGTGGGTGTGCTGGGCTGTGATTTACTAAATCTTCATTGATTCAATTAGTGTATTCTACTGCAATTTACAACTGCAGCAAGATTTTAGCTATCTTTTTGGACCTTCTTTCAAATAAAGAGAACAGGTAGCTTTGGGAAATGTGGAGACTGATGCCTTCCTTGTTATCCAGAGAGGCTGATGCAGCATTCTTGGTGGACAGCCTTGATGCAGAAGGCTTCCACTTGAAGATCCTTCTTCAAGTGAAAGGATTTAAATTTTCAGGGCTGGGAATGACCTCTCCCTTTGGCCACCTGTTGAAGTAGAGGATGTGCCTAGTTAGGTCTGGGGCGGCTTTATATACTCACATGAACGTAGTTCTTAGCACCAGAAATCAGTGTTGTTATGGATGAACATGTATACTTTTGAGGCTTGTTGCTACTACCGTACACATGTCAGAATACCAACCACCTTACAGGGTGGAATGGGAATTGTAACCAGATGTTTGATGGAAAAATATATAAGATATTATTGTTTCTTTACAATGCTTTATATTCTGTTCAGATGTTTCAGTTTGGTCCTATGTTCCCCAGCCCACCATATGAATTGTTTCTCACAAATTCTATATACACCCCCCCGGGTCAACACTGACCTTTGTGCAGCCTATTACTACTCATCTTCATTCAGATTTTATTTTTGGTGCTCTGAGACATCCAGCAACATAATTCTCATCCAGCATACTCTTTAATATTTATGGTTAGATGTCTTCAGGGTGAATTCTGGTGGAGAAGACTTTGATATTGTTGTTGATTTTTCATTTGTTGCTGAATTAGGTATGACCCATAAGTGGGTGTTGCAGGCTGGTGATTAACTTCAGCCTATTGCTCGTTAAATTGCAGTTTTGCATAAAGAGACTACTGTGCTTGGTAAACACACAATCCACTTTTCAAGACATCAATTTTGAGCAAAACTAAAATGCCTTCATTGACAAACACACAGACACCCATTTAACATGACATCATGGAGGTGAAGGACACTAGTGACTAATGGTCATGATAGCTATATACTTCCTTCAGGATCATGGGCCATATGTCTCTGGATGCCAGTGGCTGGGGAAGATGAGTGGGAAAGTGATGCGGGTCTTATGTCCCGCTGATGGGTCACAGTTGGCATCTGATTGGTCAGAATGCTGGACTAAATAGCAGGAGCAGCTCTTCATCAAAGAGGGGTGGGGCTTGATCTCAAAGTGGTGAGATGAGGTCCCTTGCAAGGACTGCTCCCTTGGTACTAGATAGATTTTGGGTTTGATCTAGTAGAGCAGGTCTTATGGTAACATATTTATCGTATTGTGCTGCACCCATGTTATATGTCTGTCTAAAATTAGAGGTTAGGCTGTGACACTGGGAAGGGGGGCTACTGTTTCAGATCAGAGTATCTTAGCATTTATTAACAATTGTTAAAAAGCAGTGCCACCAGTAAAACAGTATTCCATGAAACCTCTCTTTTTATCTTTTTGCCCAGCTTTCAAGCATATGCTTTGATTTTAATTATGAAAACTGTTGAGGGAGGGTCAAATAAAAATGCTTGTTTATTTTTTTCCTGCATTAGAATGATGTCATTTAAGTGACCATTTTTCCCCCAACAGTGTTCATATATCCCTCCCTGTGAAAGAGAAAATGAGAAGAACTCTGACATCGTAGCACACTGGCAGGTCTACTGGGAAGATGAAGTTGGCTCTCAGCCCTTCACATGTTACTTTAATCAACACCTTAGGTGAGTTGTCTCCAGTACTTTGGCTTTGTCAGAAGCAAAAAACAAAACAAAACAAAAAAAACACACACACAAAAAACACCTTGGTATAGGCAAGTACAGACCTAAAGAAAAAATGAATTCTCATTCTGGCTAGATTTTGAACAGCATTGATACATTCCTGATGTACTGAACTGACTAAATAGGCACTTTAAAAGGAATGTTTAGATTCCCTCCCACGTATACCAAAGCTTTGTGTCAAATTACTACAAAGAACCATTCAAAACAGTGCTGCTTTCAGCATAACTAATGGTTCAATTCTAACTGGCCAAAACGACCAAGAGCACTGCTGACCAGATGAAGCCGTGCCGATTCCAAACTCTGCTAGCTAAAGGCTGCTGGCATAGCCTGAGATCTACCCTTGAGCAGATCTAATTCTGTGACACTTGCTTTGGCTGTGCCTCTGGTCTGGAGGAGCTGGTAGAACCCAGTCCTGCCCTCTGTTCTGCTCTTCTGCCACCAGGTCTCTGAGATCAGTGTTCTGTTTGCAGAAGAGCCTTTCTGCTGACAGAAGATTGTGCCTAGTGCAGACCCTCTACAGCGGCTGCATCTGTAAGGCAGAATTGCATTACAGTGGTGCCTCGCATTATGACGTTAATTCGTTCCAGCAAAATCGCTGTAGAACGAAAACGTCGTAATGCGAAAATAAAAAGCCCATTGAAACGCATTGAAACCACTTCAATGCATCCCAATGGGCTTGAAACTCACCGTCCAGCGAAGATCCTCCATACGATGGCCATTTTCGATGGCTGTCTTGCGAGGAATCCGTCCCGGAAAACAGCGGGGGGCCATTTTATTTACCCAGCGGCCATTTTGAAACAGCCGATCAGCTGTAGGAAAATTGTCGTTTTGCGAAGAATCGGTTCCTGAAGCAGGGAACCGATCATTGCAAAGTGAAAAAAACCCATTCAGACCATCGTTTTGCGATCGCAAAAAGATCGTCGTAATGCAGTTTCGTCGTAATGTGGGGCAATCGTAAAGTGAGGCACCACTGTATAGCTCCAATCTAATTGATTGTAGTAAGCCTATACTAAGTATGACCTGGGATCCAATCTTCTGTACATGTAGTGCCACTGAGTTCTGCCCTGAAGTTGAGTCCCAAAATAAATGTGCAGCTGCCTTTTGCTTTTGTAATACATAGTACAATGCAGTGTCCGAAATCTTATTGCTAAGGATAGTAAATTACAATAGAGCAGTGGTTCTTAACATTTGGTACTTGGATGTTTTGAACTGCAACTCCCAGAAACCCCAGCCAGCACAGTTGGTGGTGAAGGCTTCTGGGAGTTGCAGTCCAAAACTCCTGAGTAACCCAAGGTTAAGAAAGAGTGCAATAGAGTAGGCCCACTGAATCAATGGGGATTTGGTGATCATCTTTTCTGTAGGTCCCACTGATTCAAGTGGGCCCAATCAAACTGCAACTTACTTTAGTGCAATTTACTACACTAAACAACGGCATTTTGACCAGTGGTTCCCCGGCAGTTTTTATCTGCTCATCTCTCTTCAAGGAAAAATAAAGTTTGAAGTACTGAGACCCTCTTTTCAGGATATCTGCCTCTAGTGACTAGCAACAGGCAGGAATACAAAAGCTGATACAAAAAAAAGCACCTTACACCTTGCACATGGATATTATGCTGACTCACTGTGCCAGACTTAATTGCTTTCACCGTCAGCAACGCTTTGATTACTCGGCCCCTTGGGTTTGTTTTCTCTGGAAATGCTTGTGTTTTCTATTACGGAACTAAATTTGATTGGCAAACACAGGCTTGGCATTTGAACATTATAACTTTAGCCGTGTTTCCTTCTGAACGGCATGAAGAATTGTCTCCCCATACACCTGCTGTTTTCAAAGTTATGCAAGCTGGATATTTCACACTTCAGTGTTACATTGCTGTTTGAAGTCTGTAATAGTATTCTCCTCTGAGCTTTGAAAAACACCCCCAGATCCCAATATCTGACAGAATCTCTTACCTAGTACAAGGAGGCTTTATTTGCTTGGGTTGCTGTAAACAAGCTCTGTGTGAGGCAGCTTTTGAAAAGTGTTCAGTAACTTCAGCTGATCCAAAATGCTTCAGTCAAACTGTTGGCTTGGGCTGGTTACAGGGACTTCCATATTACAGCAGCTCTCCTGGTGACCAGTCTGTTTCTGGACTGAGTTCAAAGACTAGGTATGTCCTATAAAGCCCTATACTGCTTCAGTCCAAGCTTTCTGAACAGTTCCATGTCTGCACCTGAAACTCACCAGGCCAGTATCTCAATCCCATTACTTTTACAGGCACATTTGGTGAGGATTCAAGGCAGGGTCTTCTCAATGGCTGCTCCCAGATTGTGCAATGCCCTTCCCAGGACCTATGCTGTCCTCCTCATTGGTAGGCAAAGTCCTTTCTAATGCCAGAGCACAGAGTGCTGTCCTCTGAAGATGCCGGCCTCAGAGACTGGTGAAACGTTAGGAAGAACAACCTTCAGAACACGGCCAAAGAGCCCGAAAAACCCACAACAAGCATTAGATCCCAGCCGTGAAAGCCTTCGCGAATACAAAGTCCTTTCTCTTCATGAAACCTTTTGGCTGGAGAAAATAAGTCTTTAACATGTGTTGCTGTTTTTTTCCTTTTCTAATAACTTTTAAATTGCATATGTGTCTTTGCTTTTTCATGGTTTTAAATTGTTTCATGTTAATGGTTTTTAATATTACTGTGTGTTTAACTGCTTTATTTTTTATAGTTTCACATCTCTTCTTTCCCCTTTTGTAAGCTGCATTTGGTCCCTGAATTGGGAGAAAGGCGAGATATAGATAAAATGAAATAATACATACATATACACTGTAGTTACCTTTCATAGCTCTGGCCCTGCTCCTGCTTGAGTTGATGGTGAAGTCTTTGCTACATAGTGTCACTTAAATTAGAAAACCTTGTTAGTGAAAAAGACAGAGTATAGAGAAAAACATGCTTCAAGCTCATGCTACTATTTTTTGGAGTAACAGATGATAGACAGGCAATAGACCCCTGGAACATACAATACAAATATATTATGCAAAATATTTGTATGAATTGGTCTAGTGGGGAAAAATTGCTGTATTAATTCAGTGGGTACTGGATGAAAGTGGTATCCTGATGTTCCCCTTCACACATCTGTTTCTTTAGGAGAAATTATCTGGCAAGTGCTGGTTTTGCCCTTTTCAAGGAAAAATACTGTAGATGATTGGAACTATCATTGGGGTTTCTGTCTACCTCCTCACTCTTTGTGCTAAAACAAGCCCAGTGTTTATTTTCCATTTTGCCCTGGCAGCTGTACCACGCATGAGTGGCACCTTTATTTTGTGCTGGGATAAAAGTGCAACATGCAAATGTTTACTTAGAATTTAGCAAATGAAAGCATGCAACAGATAATAACCATCTGTGGAGTGCTAGGCTGTACCCTGGGGTCATCTGTCATGCAGTAATTACTTGTAGGAGCAAGGGAGCCTCTTTCAATGAGACTGTTCTGTTTTACAAAACAGAACATCTGTTAGCTTTCTTTTGTCACCTTAGTTGGATCTGCCCTATTAGGAATGACAAACAAATGGTGGATCCAAATTGAAACAGGGACCCAGTGGAGAAAAAAAGCGATACTGTGCAAGGCAGTTACTCTGTGCTCTCAATATGTATATACCTTATATATCACAGATCTTCCGTTGTCTTTTGTCTAGTTAAGGAACTAGAACAGTATATGGACTTACCAGAGAGTAAAGTTCATTGAACTTAGATGTGCTTGCTTCTGAGTTGGCATCCATAGGGTCACACTGTGGTGAGATGTATACAGGTCTTTTCCCCCCTCCTCACATGGAGCTCCTCGAAGGCTTCCATGTTTTCTTCAGTAGAGGAAAACTACATCATTTGGCTGCTCACGTCTTCTGTGTGCCTGTTTCATGTGCATCAGTTGATGGCATTAAAACAGAGTTGGCAAATGTTGCTTTTACAACTTCCAGAATCCCACAGTTGGCCTGGTGGAGGTTATTGCAATTCCTGTAGCGGCACTTGCTGACACAGTTGGCTATGGATGTTTGGGCAAGTATCTCAGCACTGCCATTTGCATGAGGATTTCTGTTGTTAGATCCTCAACAAAACCCCCAAATCATGTGCAGTGAGTTTGTTTTTTTTTATACAGGGAAATCAAAAGCTGGTTGATAATTTCTAGAAGAACTTCAGGCCATCTTTCTTCAAACTGGTGCCTTCTTCATATGATTAAAACAACCCTTATTATTGCAGCTGTGGCCTAGTGCTGGTTGGGGACAGTAGTTCAACATATCTGGAGGTATTAAGCTTGGGGCCCCCCTGTAGACGATATGACCTTTATGGTTTTGTGTCACGTGCCACCTTTTAGTAGCAATGTGTGTATTTTTTTCTACTCTTGTATATTGTTTCCTTTCCTTTTGCAGACCAGATGATGTCCTGTTACGACGCACTCATGACGAATCGGTTCTCTTGCACTGCTTCCTGTGGCCAGTGGTGACGTTTCTGGTTGGTGTCCTCATTGTCCTTCTGACCATCTGTGCAAAGAGCTTGGCTGTCAAAGCAGAAGCAATCAAGAAGAGGAAGCACTCCTAAAAGGGAGTCTCTTGAACGGAACTGGAGGGAACTCACAGGAAAGCTTGAGGTGGCAAATGCAGCAGACGGGCGCTTCGGTGAAGCTTCCTAGCAATGCCCATTCCCAGTGTATTGCCAGCCGTTGGTCTTGCCAATGCCTGAAGATTAATTGTAGGTGACCACGCTGTGAAATGTTAACTAGCTGCTTCTGCCACTCTGAAACGCCAACATGTCTGTTTCACCAAATGATCCTAAGCTGCACCAACTGGCTAATACCGCATTACTGTAATCCAAACGATGGACTGAAGGACAGTTTGTGAAAACTCAAAGTCTGGTTGACTTCATCTTAGCAAAAGATGACATTTATTTCTTAACATTTATTATTTAGTACTGGGTATTTATTATTTCTTTTCTCATAGACTGTATTTCTGAAAATAAAAAAAGTAGTTGGTTTTTATTAGTGTGCATTCCTAATTTGTGAATGTGGTTTGCTTTCTGAATCAAGAACAAAATATGGCCTGCCATTCTGAGTATTCTCAAGAGTGTCATGTTATAATGGAATTTTTAAATGCAGTTATATTCAAAAGTTTGGTGTTCGGTTCCCACGCTCTTCACATCCTTGTACACTATTCAGCCAGTGTTGCTGCCGTTTTTACTCAATCACCACCATGAGTGAAGAACACTTACAGTCAAGGAAACACTAGGCTGGTTGTGTCACTCTCTTATTTACCAGCTAACTAATAATCTTATAATAATTACAATCTTAGAACTGTAGAGCTAGAAGGAGCCTTCTGGATCATTGAGTCCAGCCCCTGCCAAGGAGGCACAGTAGGGAATCAAATTCCCAACCAGATCCCTAAGCCACTGAGCTATCCAGCAATACTATAGGTCCAGTGCTATTTACCCCTCCACATTACAACTGGCATATCCAATATCCACAGGTGCAACCTTTTCCTGTAAAGCATTTCACAGAAGAAGATGACTAATGAGAAGAAGAAGGAAAAGAAGACAACAGTAAAGGGAAGAGAGGAATGGAAGCACTGGTACACCAAGATATTCTGATAGGTTATCCTTCTGGGAGTATGCTCCCTACATCTCGCTTCTCTGCTTGATGAATGGGGCCAGGCTGTTCTCTCACTTGCAGTGGAGATCTGTCTGGATAGCAGAGAGCAACCTCACAGTAGTCTCTCATTTCTCTCTCTGATAGATCAGGCTAGAATGTGTTGCCCGTTGACTATCCAATTCCATAGCAGCTTATATTTATCCTTCATGAGTGAAAAATACTGCACACTGCAGTGAAGCTAAATTTACTTCCTGTTGCACTGCACTCTGGCATTTTTTTTTTTAAAATCTATAAAAAATCATAGGGGCAATCTAAAAGATAACTTGGTTTAGCTAGATATTGTTGAATTCAGTGGGACCTGAGACCATGTTAATCACTTGATTTTGCTTGGATTGATCAGGAAACGTGCTTAGCTTTGTTCAGGTTTTGTCTATTCTCTATTTAACATCAGATGATCACAAGAGATGCTGAATTTTAAGGCAGAATTAAGTGTTGCATGCAGATGGGTTTAATTCAGTTTGTGTTGTGTTGCTGGGTGTTTGCAGTTTACATAAGAAAAGGGGTTGGTAGCATCAATTTAGCATGAACCTATTTATTTTATTTTGTTTATTGGATTTCTATCCCACCCATCTGGACCAAAGGTCTACTATTTAACTGAAGCAGCTGGCTGTAATATTTTTGTGTTGTAAGGGGAGGAATTGTGAGAAGGAAAACAGGAACAGGATTTATATGGCATTGGTAATCCATTAAGATGAATTTTTTTTAGCAGCAGACACCCTGGGGCCATGCAAAAGAACAGGAAAATGAATCAGTTGACAACATCTTGTATTATGAGTTCCTTAAAGCTGTGAAACTTCTTTAAGTTTTTCTTCATAGCCATTTGGGTTGGGAATATCCTAGTGAAAATGTTTTTGTAGGAACACTGAATTTTGTATCAGCACATTAATTACAGGAACTGGAATAATTTCCTGCTGTAAAGCTAACTGATCATATGCCATAAGTCTAAATAGTTGCAGCAGCCTGCAGTAAACACCAAATAGCCTATGGGAAGCATTTGGCATGGCAGGGAAACCTATCAGACCTGAATACAGGAATGTGCAGTGCTGTTAGCTCCATTTCAGATCTGACCATCTGACAGTCCAGGATCCAATTTTGAAATGAATTTAGGTCTGGGAGGCCTTTCACCCGGCTTGTGATAGCTGTGTGGTCAACCCTAGAGGCACTATCTGGGATTTCTTCTGAATTCAGATTACTTTTCCAGAAGCGGAAAAGTCTGTCAGATTTAATCCAGTTATACCAGACTATTCTTGAAGTCAATGGTTGTATGTATTCCTGCTTCTCTGTGCAGTTGATTGAATGATTTCCTGTACGCTGCACAGTAAGAATGGGAATGGATGTAAGAGTCATGTCATAAATTGAAGGTGTGATTGTATTGTAAAGAACCTAAGAGAGACCACTGTCCCTTGGAAGTCACTGAATCAGTATTGATCCAGCCCGGTACATCTTTTTTTAGATACCCACACTATGCTGCCATCAGGGGCTTGGTTCCTTGTGCTGCCATGCTGTTACCCTGGTAACGAAACAAAACATTCCAAGGCTCTGTATTCTGAGATGGAGAAAATTGCCACCTTCTGATCATTTTGTTATTTGATTTGAATTATGATAGACTCTTGTCTAATTTTTCCCAAAGCGGTCCTTTGGGCATAATTCAATACGGATTAGAATTACTGAGATGTTCCACAGCCATTGCCCTCCTTCCTTCCTCTGTGGAGGCTGATAAATTCATTTGAGCATTTTTACTTGACACTTCGATTGCCATAAGTCTTTGTTTACTATAAATTAAGTCTGCTGTAACAGAAAATGTTTAGTTGATGTTCTGCAAAGGTAAGAAGCAAGCTGAATTGTATCCTGTTTTACAGGACCCTCTGTATTTTGAAAGCTGAGAAACCTGAACTTGTAGAAGTTCATGGGACATTAGTCAAGTCAGGAAGGCAAATTACCCAGAGTGAATAATTCACATGAGAGAACGGAAGGTAATAGAGAGGGCTTTGCTGAGCAGGCACAAACAACTAACCTGCCTAAAGATAATGGGTGTGTTTATCAGGTAAGGTGAGTTGGCCCATTGGATGGCAGGTTTGAGGATTTCATTTAAAAAGCAGCAAAGAGACAGTTGTTAAAGGTAATGGCTGAAATCCTGTTGTTTGGCATAACAACTCACAACTGGAATAGGCCCATTGAATCAGTGAAACTTATGAAGATGTTTACTTAACAAATAACTTGCTCTAGTTGTGACTTACTGTGCTTAGCAATAGTCTTTCAACTGTTATATTTTTACTACTGTGGAGGGTGACAGTTTTATTTCCCCCCTCTTTGGTATTAAAATATATTGGTTAATCCCAGATCTATCTTGAAATTGAGGGTCAAACTTTGCATTAAAGGTGAGCACATCATTAGAAGAGGGAGTTCCTCAGCTATTGAAAAGTGTCTGATTTTTACTGCATAAGCTTTTCGTTTGCTTTGGTTTGAAATCCTGGCCAGCACAGCTGGTGGTGAAGGCTTCTGGGAATTGCAGTCCAGGAACACCTGGGTTACCCAAGGTTGGGAACCCCTATCCTAGAGTCTGCATGAGGATTTTGGGGGCTGTCATATAAAAGCAACTGTTCCCAACCTTGCTTTAAATACACATTTGGTGAGAAAATACATATTTATATATGAGTTAAGAAATATACAAATATACAATCCAGGAACAAGAGGAAGTCACAAAAGCAGCAAAACCAGGGAGCTGGACAGGGGACAGATTGGATTTGTCTTCAGTGCGGAAGGGATTGTCACTCTCGAATTGGCCTTCTCAGCCACACTAGACGCTGTTCCAAGTCCTCCATGCAGAGCACGTTACCATAGTCTTTCGAGACTGAAGGATGCCTAACTAAGAAATATACAGTAGTGTTTTTAAAGGTCCATGCACAAGTGGGCTGAAACTGGATAAAAACAGGTGAAAGGTGCAAATACATTTCTCTTGCTTAGAAATGTGCCAACACATTACAGAACTGGTGTAAGCATAGGGTTGCATCTCTGGAGGAAGATCCACCCACCCCAGTGGTTCCCTTTGACCTGTCCCTATATATGGGTGCATCTAGGTCAGATGGGTTGGGTGGGAGTCTATGTACAGTGGTGCCTCGCTTAACGATTACCTCGTTAAATGACGAAACTGCTTGACGATGAAGTTTTTGCAATCGTGAAACGATGTTTAGATAGGGAAATTTCGCTTGATGATGATCGGTTCCCTCCTTCGGGAACCGATTTTTCGCTAGATGATGATTTTAAAACAGCTGATCGGAGGCTCTAAAATGGCCACCCACTGTGCAAAATGGCTCCCCGCTGTGTTTTAGGATAGATTCCTTGCTTTACAGACGCCGAAAATGGCCACCCCAATGGAGGATCTTCGCTGGATGCTGAGGATTTTGGCCAATTGGAACGCATTGAACCAGTTTCAATGCATTTCAATGGGCTTTTTCATTTCGCTTGATGAGGATTTCGCTTAACAGCAATTTCAATGGAACAAATTATCCTCGTCAAGCGAGGCACCGCTGTATTATAGAACGTTCTTGGCTTCCAAGTGGCCCATGTTTCTGGAACATTCTAAAGAGAGAGAAAAAGGTGAGTCCTGCCACGAGAAGTCAGAAATATCATCTAAATATCGCCTAAAGAGCAGTTCCTCCTGCTGGTTTGTGGATTGCCCACTGAGTCCATTAATAGGCTGAACAGCCACTTGGTCATTTGAACATTTCCTTTCAAAACTGAGTCTTTGGTTTTCACAGGTATAAACCACCCTCATTAATTTGCTTGAGTATAGTATCTTGAAGGGTTCTTTTTTGCTGCATACTTTTCAAACACAACCTGCTGTGAAAATGCCTCATTTCAGCCACAGCCAACTACTGTACCCCGATTCCCCTCCCCGTTTTATTCAATATTTATATTGCTATTACTTTGAAGAATTCTGCTTCAGCAAACTCTCCGATGCATGGCTTTATTAAAGGATGCAAATTCTCTTTCATGTATTGCAGTTCATTTATTTCTTTATTAAGATATAGATATCTTGTTTACTTCTTACTGCTCAAATCAGTAATTTGACATAGGAAATTGTTTCCATGTGGTAGGTATACCTTCCCTGAAATTTTGTTATGTGTACTGTATAGTGAGTGTAGCTGGAAGATGGGGGAGAAGATGGGAATTCAGATTGTAATTGTGCCATTTCTAAAAGATAAATGCACATTTAAGCAGAGGAAGACTGGATATGATAAAGAAAGAGTGGTTTATTTACACAACAGGCGACTCACAACTGGAGGAGGGAAGTGTCCCACTGCAAAATGTTGCAGTGAAGTGTTCTTCCTCTTGAACTATCAGCCACTCCTCATTTATATCAGTTGTTCAAGGAAGCACACATTTGTGTGTGTGTGTGTTTGTAGGAGGAAAACCTGAGAAAAGAAACAGTCTTGACTCAGTTCTTAAGAGTCAAACAAGATTTCATCAAGAATTTGAGTCTGTAATTCATTTGCTCCAGAACAGTTCAAGTAACATTAGAATAACATTATAGGATACCAGTGGACAGCTTCATATGAAGGAAGCAAATGGGTATTTTAACATCCCTTCAGAAGATGCCCCACAATTTATCATCCATTATGCTAGAGAAAGTAAACTCTTTCTAAATACATGCACGCAGTTTGTGAGCATCTGGCCGCTGGAAAATGAGGGGGAAATACATGTTAAAATATAAGAACAAATATTTATTGGTGTGCCTCTGAATGCATTATATATTTAGAATCAAGTGCTGGAGTTATTTCAGCCTCGTAAACTGCCTTCAGTATGTTTGGCTGGGAGAGAACTTCCGGGACTGGGGTGACTATCTATCAATCCACCAGTAACCAATTGTTCCTTCCCTGCTTCTGATTTTGACCACACTTCTCTGTTTTCCCCTCTTTTTCAGTCTGCTGGCAGTTAGTGCATTATGCAGTTAGTGCAGGTAGAATGTAGTCTGAGCGTCTGCTGGAAGCAATCAGGAGTGAGTCTGATGGGGCCTGTTGCTATGAGCAGTCATTCTTGTACAACATGCTGGTTTCTTCATCTGTTCAGGACTGTCAGTAAATTGAACTTTATTCTTTCTCTTACCAGTATCTCGGAGTGAGTTATTCAGACTGTAAGTTCTCGATGAAGAGACAACCAAAAACGGGTGGTCTGTTCTGGGGAAACTTGAAGCTAATTCTGCTCTGTAAGTTGCTGCACTTCTGCTGTGCAGCTAGATATTGGGGAAACTTGAAGCTAATTCTGCTCTGAAAGTCACTGCACTTCTGCTGTACAGCTAGAGATTTTTAAACCAAAATTCAAACCTCTGCAGTATCAAGCTACTGGCTATCCTGAAGCAAAGAACAATCATTTTTTTATATATCAAGCTACTGGCTATCCTGAAGCAAAGGGCAATCATTTTGTTTCTGTTTCTGTACAGACTCATGAAGCTTTCTTACTGTTCATATTTCATTTATTCTACTGTATATGTTGTCCAGTCATCTTCCCAGGAGTGCATACTTAAATGCAAGAGAGTAGGAACCTAAAAGATAAAAGCACATGGTGGGGGTGCAGAAGAAAGGGAATATGTTGTTTGCCTTGTTCCTTATAGACTTGGTAACAAATACCACAGGCTCACACAGACACATGCACAGAGGTTTGTGTTCTGATAACAGCAAATTCTAAAAAGAAAATGTTGAAGGTCCTTGAAATACATTCTACAGCAAATGATTCAATGAATAGCAAGAACTACATCTATCCCAGCAAGGATTAAAAAAAACAAACCACAAAGTGTAATGGTCGCCTTTTGAAAACTGAATAAGACTGAAGGAATAATATAAGATGTAGAGATAAAACAGGGTACATCTTCATTAAAGAAGCAGCTCAGTGGCATCCTTTGTGCTAGAAGCTGCTGGATGTTCTTTCTTTCTTTCCCTTTTTCTGTAGGAGGAAGATGGGGCTTTGTTTAAGAGTGAATGGATGTTATGGTAAGCCCAGAAGATGCTGAGGAGGAGTATCAGAGAGACTCCTTTGGAAGAAAAATAGATTACAGGGGCTTCCATCTCTGGTACCACTTTCCAAGAAGGCAGCAGGCAAAAGAAAAGGCAAACCAACTGGAAGAAGCTGGAGAAGGGAATATATGTGAGGTAGCACTTTCCAAGAAGGCAGCAGGCAAAAGAAAAGGCAAACCAACTGGAAGAAGCTGGAGAAGGGAATACCTACTCATGAAGAGACAGCTGAGAGTGAAAGCTCCCCAGTCAGATAGAAATTTGGGCTGGGTACCACTCATACTTTGTGAGATATCATAAAGACTAGTGCCTGATTGATATATGTGGTGGAAAGCCTTTTTTGTCATGCATTCCAAGGTTTTTGTTCCATATTGGAACAAAAATATGGAGGCTAAGATGGTTCCCTCCCTTAAAATTAAAAAATGAAGCAATTTGTCACAAAAAAGGGCAGTGGGGTGGGGTGGGGGGAAGAAGATACTGATTGCAATGAAGTGGAAAGGTGTACTGCTTGGAAGATACTATGTGGTCAAAGCTTCACTCATCTCTCCCTCTCTATTACTCTTCTGCTGTTTTTTCCACATCTGTGAATGATGGATTAGTAATGGCCATATTACGTTTGTTTTAGTTTGACTTTCTCCCTCACCAGTATCCTGAAGCAGCTCCAGCAATCTATTAAAACATAATCAGACCTTATTTCTACAGGGATCATTGCCATAAAATTGTAAGTGATCACTGTAGAAACAGCCACATATAACATGCACAGGTAATATAAGGAAATGCGACTTTTATTAGGTTAATGTTTTAAGACATGAAGAAGGAACATTGACTGTTTTTCTGTGCTTCCTCACAGTTCATAGTGTCGGCACAGCTAAACAAATTAACAGGGAAGCAGTAAATAAAGTTAGGTTTTGTTGAGGATTTGAATTTGAAATGCACATCAATATTACATTAGATGGCTGTAAATTTAATGAGTGCACAGAGAACATTCTGAAAGTGTCTGTTAAGTAAATGTTGCCTTAGGTAAATGCCCTGTTAAACAAAGTACTATTGGAAAGTTAATTACACTGAATATAAACACTATAAAATGGATCAGGGAAGAACCACCCATATTAAAGCAGAGTATTTGAGAAGACAGCACAGTGGATGCAGGTTCATGAAGGGCACTGCAGCTGTTTTATTCAGAGAACAAAATATAATCTTGAAAACTAACAGAATAGGGGCGCCAAACCAGAGCTTGGAAAATAACATCTTTAAAACTACAACTTCCAGAATGCCCGCCTTACTGAAAAGCTACTGTAATTGTGGGACCTAACAGTTCCTGGCCCCCAAACGTGTCTGTCTGTGTGTGGATTTGAGTCAGACCAGGTATGCATGTTTATGAGATCCCCCCCCCCCAAAATGACTGTGAATGTGACATAACAACTTTAAAGAAATCTGCACTAATATAATGGATTTGTCCATATTTGAGTATTCGTGCCTGTCTGTTTTTTGAACAAAATGACTTGTTGGTGACTTGTTTCCTTGCATTCATAGCTATTCTTCATGAAACATTGTCTTTCTTTTCCTCCATAATAGTTTGTGTGTGCCCTGTGCCATCAAGTTAGAACCGACTTATAGCAGCCTTTCAAAGGAAGTGAGGTATTTAAGGAGTGATTTTACCAATTCCACTCCCCCAGTGAATTTCCATGACTGAGCAGGATTTGAATCCTTGTTCCTCAGAGTCCTAGTCCATCACTCTATTGACTACACTACATTGGAAACCCACAACAGTATGCAGAAAAGTACAATAGTATATAATAGAACAAACGTCAGGTAATGTTTCTGGAAAACACCTGGAAGGCAAATGGAGGCAAATACATGATTTCCACTCCCCCAGTGAATTTCCATGACTGAGCAGGATTTGAATCCTTGTTCCTCAGAGTCCTAGTCCATCACTCTATTGACTACACTACATTGGAAACCCACAACAGTATGCAGAAAAGTACAATAGTATATAATAGAACAAACGTCAGGTAATGTTTCTGGAAAACACCTGGAAGGCAAATGGAGGCAAATACATGATACTAAAGTAAGTGTGTGTGTGTGTGTGTGTGTGTGTGTGTGTGTGTGTGTGTGTGTGTGTGTGTGTGTGTGTGTGTGTGTGTGTGTGTGTGAGAGAGAGAGAG